CCCCACAGTATTTGCGTCAAAAAAATCGCGTGTGTCAATCCTTGATGGTTAGGTACCTAGTGCAGACTCTTACAACTTGACCTTGCAGTTTCTATGCTAGTGGAGTTCGTGAATGCTTACTCTAGGCATCCCTCGTGTCCGTTGGGTTCATACTATGTTCGTGGAGAGGACGATATGTAGGGATCTGCCACGTTAATTTACCTAAATCGAGTATCATCTGCTTGACTGACTCGATTTAAGCAAATCAACTTCGGTGATCCCCAGGAAATATTATCCACATCTCGACCACCTCAAGACACAGGATCCCAGTTGCATATCATACCACTATAGCCGCCACAAATCAAGAGAACATCTCAACAAAAGATTACATAAATCGCTGTAAAACATACATTACAAGTTTTGTTGAATTCATAAATGAGTTGTACAACATAAATGAAGACATTAATTAAACTAAGTGTAGTGAGAACCCAATGGCTATCTTACAATATTAAACCTAGGTTGAAAGCCCTACACAACATATTAATTCTGACTAAAACTAGTGGTCGCCTTGTCCATGGACGTCGCCACCATAGCTTGGATGGCTCCTGCCATTCACCCACTTTGCAGGCGTCGGCGGGATGACATGGCCATCAATGTACTTTTGGTACCTGCAAAACAACTTAACGGCAACACCATGAGTAATTATACTCCACATGACTTACCCGATATATAAACAAAGAAGTATGCATTTGGCATTAGCAAGGAATAAAAATTGGGTTGCATAAATAGCATTTTTTTGCATAAAGTAAATATTATCTACCAACTACAATAAGCATAGCAAGGTATAGCATATATGAGCATTAAGGATAACATGGAGCTCGATCTTCCACGGGTCCTTCGTTGCAACCGCTCTGAATCTAGGAGTAAGAACAACCAAACCTGTCTGAAGACTTTAGGCATTCAAACAAAACCCTGCAGAATGTACCTACATAGAAGACTAGAACAAACCTCCATACACATGCACTCAGGAAATGGTTGCCTCAAGTCCCCAACCTTTCACAAGTGTGGCCAAATCGCCCATGAATGATTTCATGATGAGCCGAGGTACTAGCTTACTCTAACTACCAAGCGCCGCACCCCGAGCCGAATCCACCTGGTTATCCAGTCACCACAAGCTACTTGGCTTATCGCCTCCATCCGCGACATGTGGCCTATATGGGGGTTACTCAGACTCACTACAACAGAGATATGGTCCTTAGCCAGCCCATCGAGCTACGTTATTGAAGACCTCTCCCATCTTGCCATGACCCAACCCCTCGTCAATCCTTGAGTCAAATTCATCATATAATATAGACCAAGTTTTAGCTCATTGCTCATTTTGATATTGATTAGTGGACAAGCAATTCCTATATCTCGCGAATGGTGAGAAACCCATCACCAATTCGTCTTCAACGTATCTATGCAAACTAAGCATACGTTACATTCTAAAATTGTAAAACAATCAATACTTCAAGGTAAATGGAATGAATAACAAGGTTGGAGGCTCAACTAGATGCTCATGGGATCTAGTCATATTGTACACACAAAGATGAATATACATAACGCATAGTTAATTATGCAACTAGAAAAAGAGTCAAGAGGCTTAGGTGCCTGCTTGGTGGATGAGGATTTTTCCAATAGCTTGGATCATTACTTGGCATCGCTCCAACATCGTGTACCTGAATGTTATGCATGTGTTGCATGAGATTTCATGTATGCAAGACACTAAGTAAACGATGGGAGATAGAGGATAAAGCATAAGATGAGAGAGGCTTGGGGTGTGGCTCAACCTTTATGTGAGTGCAAGGTGCAATAAATAAATATGATGCTCGTGTTGGTATGTCATGCTTATAGATGGGTATGATTAAGTATGAAGATATGGTACTAGGTGCATACAGCATATGGATGTGTCAAAGTGTAAACATGTAGGTGTTGTTGAGGTACCCGTGGACTGTCCAGGGAGCTGTCGGACAGTCTGCTCGTGCAGTGTTGGTGAAAACAACTAAGTGTTGGTTCTGCCGGACTATTCGTCAGAGCGGCGAACGGTCCATGAGTGCAGGACCCGAAATGGGTAGCCTCAGGTTTGAATATTCAACATTTACCAGACTGTCTAGTGGTCTCTCCGACAGTCTGTGGGAATATGACATGGTTGGTGCTGAAAACATCTAAGTGTGTGATCTGGCAGACCATCTGGTGTCCTACTAGACTGTCCCTGAGAACACAGTGTAGGTGTTCTAAGTGATTTCATAGGTGAAAAGTGCATCTATGATTCTGGCGTGTTTATGAGATTAGGTAGAAGTATTTCTAGGGTCCTCTAAGTCACATCTAGCAAGGTGCATATGCTTAAACTATAAAGATGTATCTATGGATAACATATCTCTTATTCTTCTCAAGGTTGGGATATATAAAATACCTAAATGAGATGATATGAGTATGTATTCAATAACATGATGAAAAAACATGTATCCTAGATAGCACATGCTCAAAGGAAGCTAACAAAACTTGTTTCATGATTTTTAAAGTCCCAGAGAAGTGGTTATGTGCTTAACAAGACATAATGTATCCATAATTTTGCTCAAAACTACTCTTATAGTTTTGGAGTCAAACTCATGTTTAGATGAGATAGAATTTCGTAAGGAACCCAACAAAATTTGTTTCATAATTTTTAGAGTTAATAAAATAAAATTTCTATGAACTTTACAAGATCATGCATGCATAAAGGGTGTCTGCTGTGTTATGCCGAACCATCCAGCGAACAGGGCGGACTGTCCGCTAGAACATGCAAAAATGGTGTGTTTAGGGTTTAAGGTGCATTTATGTGCGTTTTCTCGGACTATCCTGCCGTGGGGGTCAGACTGTTTGCCGGGATACATCCAACACGCAGAAATCATGCCGGAGATCATTTCTGGTGCATCCGGACTCCGAATTGAGTGCAGTCTGTTTTTGTAGTCTCCTAGTGATGTAGGGAACTTATTCTAGATGTTGAATTCATCATGCATGGTGTGTGAGGAGCTCGAGATCATCGATGGTGGTTGTGGCCATGGATGGAGCAAGAGCTCAAGGGGAAGCTTCCTAGGGATGGGGAGACTGAGGGAGAAGGGTTAGGTCTTGCTCACCATATCATGGGTGACCTCCAACAGTAGCAGCTTGGACCGAGACGACTTGTGGTGGGAGATCGGCTTGGGGCCTCCATGAGAGCTCGAGGAATAAGATGATGGCTTGAGGGCCTCCTCCACCAACTCCGCGCGGGTGAGGGCCTCACGGGGAGCTCGTTGGCGATGTCCTACAGCAAGGGTGGGCCCCATCGTCCTCCTCCTCCTCTTCTTTCTTCCTTCTTCCTTCTTCTCTCTCCTTCTCTTTTCTGTATTCTGGTGTGTGTGGGAAGGAATTAAAGGGAGATGGAGAGAGGTATGGTGGTGTTGTGTGTGTGGGCTGACATGTGGGCCCAGGATGCTAAGCCTACGAATTAGGAGCACCCGAACAATCACTATTGTATTTGAGGGATGAAATCAAAGAAGTTCAAGGCTGAAAAAAGCTCGCTTTGAAAAGTTGAGCTTTGCTTCGAACACACGAAATTAGCTAGCATGGTGTGTGTGTGTATAATCCAAAATGTAATATTAAAATTGTTCAAGCAATATTGTGAAGAATGTGCTTAGAGATTCAGCTAAAGTGGTTGTTTAGGTGAAGAGTTTATAGATCGATTTGGGTAAAACAGGTTTATAGACTATGTGCTTATCAAAAATCTTGCTTTGTAAAAAGGAGTCTTGGTTTTATGCTCACATAAACAAACAATGCTTTTAGTGGTTAGAAGAAAAGTTAATCTAATGAAACTGTTTTCCTAGACCTACGAAAATTTATAACAAAATTTGTTTAGTATAGTTACTATGTACGGAGTACAGGATTATACGTATAGAATAAAACAGAGTAGAATTACGTGGTGTAAACCAGACAGTATGTGACGGCGCACGGTGGCATCACCGTTTCGCACGTGGCCACGTGGTGGCCTCTTGGCTTTCCATTGCCAGCGCCAGCAGGAGGCAGCTGCAGCAGACCAACCCGCCAATCGTGCGACGCCACCACCACCGCCCCCTGCACGGGGAAGCACATCAACTGATCAACCCTCCCCTTCCCGCTAGAGCAAACGCCACGCCAGTCGCGATTCTTCCACGGGTCCGGCCGGATCCAATCCGCTGCCGCCCAGCCGCCGCCGGCTCCTCGATCGGGGTCTTCCCTCCCCTTTGCCCTTCGCGCCCCCCGCAAATCCCGCGCGATTGATGAGTATTTTTCTCCCCGTCCCTTGGAGCGACTCGGTGGATGCGAGGGACCTGCCCGCGCTCGACCCGCCTTCGCCCCTATCTCGCCGCCTCGCCGCCCGGCGGGCAGGCTCCTGCTCCCACCTTCCGTCCCCGGAGCTAGCCGCAGGCCCATATGCTAGCGAGTAACCTTTCGCCCTCCTGCGATCGCGAGCGGAGGGGCGGCCTGCGGGATCCGCCCGTCTCCTCCTCGCGCTTTCGGAATAATCCAAATAACTCCTTGGTCCCGATTTTGGAGTTACTAGCCTGCGTGTAAATCGTCTCCTGCTGATGCGAGTGTTGTGCTTTCCAGTAGCAAGAGTGTACAGTTGTTGTTGCGTCTTGGGGATGTGAATCCTGTCCTGGGTGGGGATCCAGCTCACGCTAGATTTTCCCCCCTTTTGCCTTTCACTTTTTCACTCGGGAGGGGAAAGATTGGTTTCCTGGGTGATTAACATCTGATTGCTGTGCATGATTCTACCTTATCTTCTAATTTCTATTTCCGTACTCTTAATGCAAGTACTGGGGAGGCAAAGTAAAGATTGTATTGCCGGTTTTGGGGACATATTCTTGGGGATATTCCACCCTGTACAAAGATATCCCTTACCCTTAGTTTAGTTTGATGCTCAAATCAGTGGTGGTGGGGAGTGCACATATCACAAATCCTGATTATACTTGGCCGTTCGGGAGATGGTTTCCTCACAAGAATCCACCTTCTCCTCGGCCTCAGCGGCTGCACAAGTGAATGCTTCCGCTCTGGACTTGCTCCCAGTCTATGCCAAGGAGCTTATCGCTGGCGGCGCTGCTGGTGCATTTGCAAAGACTGCGGTAGCACCACTGGAGAGGGTCAAGATCTTGTTGCAGGTCCTGAACTGCACATTCTATCAATTTCTGTATTTGTGGTGATTGTGTTCATGTTTAGCTCACCTGCTGCACATTTTCTGTTTGCTCTGTAGACAAGAACTGAAGGTTTCCAGTCCCTTGGGATCCTCCAGTCCTTGAGGAAGCTGTGGCAATACGAGGGAATTCGAGGCTTCTACAAGTGAGTGCCATGGCAGAAATGCCTCAGGCTCTTTTACTGCTGAATTAAGTACAGTGATCTGAATCCACTGTTATTATCCTTGCAGAGGGAACGGTGCAAGCGTGCTTCGGATTGTTCCATATGCAGCATTACATTACATGACATATGAGCAGTATAGGTGCTGGATATTGAACAATTTTGCTCCATCCATAGGTACAGGGCCTGTCGTTGATCTTTTAGCTGGCTCTGCTGCTGGTGGTACTGCAGTTTTGTGTACATACCCATTGGACTTGGCTAGGACCAAGCTGGCGTACCAGGTATTGTACTACCATGTTCACTGATGCATTTTTTTTCATTTTGTTCCTTTGATTGTAGTGAAGAGTCTCCATCAAAAGATGTATGGCTGGAACAACTCTCTTGAGCAAATATTAGTTGTTGTTTTTTTTTTCCATTTTGTTGCTTGATTGTAGTGAAGAGTCTCCATCAGTAGATGTATTTCCAGAACAACTCTGAGCAAACATTAGTTGTTTACGCCATGTCTGCTTTTGATGTATTGTTAGTACCAATGTTGGCTCAAGGCTGTTAACACTAATTTCTTCACGGTTGCTCCAAGGTTTCAAATGTTGGCCAGCCTGGCAATGCTTTTGGAAATTTTGGTCAACAACAAACATATAATGGCGTAAAAGATGTCTTCAAGACTGTTTACAAGGAAGGAGGCACACAATCTTTATATCGTGGAGTAGGTATGTCTTATCCTCTCAGTCTCATTTCGTTCGCTTAGACTAGTATCGTTTATTGCTCATCAGTGTGAGGCTAGAAATTTATTCCGTTTCTTTCCAGCATTGCCATGCCAGCTAATGTTCCACACTTGCACACCTTTGTTTCTAATGTAACATTATGCTAAGTATCAATTTAGGTTGATACCAAATATGCATATTCAGTTCTTTCTTGGTTTTCCTGAAAACATGATGGCACTACTGTTTGTTTAAATCCCAAGTGCTGGTTCCATAGGTGACCGGAAACACTATTTCCAGGGCTTAAACATATACTAGTTTAACATGAGTTACCATATGAATATCCTGAAATTTGTAGTTTAGATTACATTACTTGAAATGTCTGTATTATTTATTTAGATTATATTATTACAACACGAGAGGAGGGTTCAAGATTCTTTTAATCAATTACAGGCCCAACTCTTATTGGTATTCTTCCATACGCTGGCTTAAAATTTTACATATATGAAGATCTGAAATCTCAAGTTCCAGAAGATTACAAGAGTTCTGTTATATTGAAGCTCTCTTGCGGAGCTTTAGCTGGTCTATTTGGACAAACCCTCACTTATCCACTGGATGTTGTCCGAAGACAAATGCAGGTACAATTCTTGTATTCCATGCATTGATAATCTGCTAAATCTCATCTGCGATGCCTACAGTTACCACTCACAAGACTCTGTCTTCAGGTTCAGAGCAATCAGCCTCAAAATTCAAGTGATGGCCTCCGTATAAGAAGAACTTTCCAGGGTCTCTTGTTGATAATTCGGTGCCAAGGGTGGAGACAACTCTTCGCTGGTTTGAGCCTTAACTATGTCAAGGTAATAAGCCAGGACAAAATTAAAGAAGACAAAATTTGAAAAATGAGAATCAGTATTGCAAAATGTGCGGCATGGAAAAATAACTTACTCTGTTGGGTTGCTCCTTGTTTTCCTTTGCTTGGTTACAATTATTACTCATGTTGTGTTGCTCCTTGTTTTCTTTTGCTTAGTTGCAATTATTAGACATCTACAACTGGGATGTTCATTTTTACAATAATGTCAATATCTAATTTTATTTCTTGACACTTCGAACTTTTCAGGTTGTCCCTTCAGTAGCTATCGGTTTCACAACATATGACATGATGAAGACATTGCTAGGGGTTCCTCCCCGAGAGAGAGTCCATGCGTCAGGTGGTAACAAATGAAGCAATGTTGGCCATCCTTGTGTTACGACTGATGAACTGAAGAAACTCTAGGCTGTGGCACTGTTGTTCTTGTTATGAATCCTATTGCTATCACCCTATGTTGCTGATGGAGAGTATTGTATATTGGTCAAATAGTTCTGTGTCTCTAACATTCGGTCGAGTTGCTTGTACCATCCATTATGCTACTTGTAATTTGTAACCATGATACAATGACGGTGCCAGAGATTGCCCTACATTAACTATACAAGATTAGCAGTGCCCTTATTGGAGATTCTGGTGTTTATGTCAGTATATATATCAAATGTGCCTGAAGATGTTTTATATATCAAATGTTAGCAAAGACGAAGATGAAGCCTCGATGGTTTCTATCAATAGGAATCTCCAACGCTTGATTTGGTCTGAGTAGTCTTTGGTCTAACAGAATCACCTTTTTACCTTTGAGACTACTCATTGAGACCCCGAACCAACCTAAAAAAAATGGAAAATTGCTGCCTGAATTGGGCTAGATTTTGTTCAACATTAGCAAAATTGGTTCTCACATGTTTATACAAGGCTTCACACACTCACTGTATTATCTTAACAAAAAATAAACCAATTGTTCACATAAATTAAATCAATCCACAAGGGTGACAATAATTACATCAAGTAAAATGTAGCCATTGCCCCGTCATCACAGAAGATAGTAAAAACCAATAGAGATTTTTCTTAAGAGAACACAACCGCAGACTGTACACCACCCAGGCACCCACAATCCCATGCACTCCCCATGTAATTTCCAAGTCCAAGATCACAAAACGAGAAATCCACAAGCTGGACCTGCAATCAGTTAATCTTTCTTCTTGTTGCCCGGGGAGCAGAACCTCTCAAACAGCATGGCGAAGAACCCAGCGAAATCGAGCCGCTTTTTCGGGTCATCTTTCTCCACCTCCCCCCTGTTTGTTTCTTCAGGTTTGTCTCCTTCAGCTGAAGTTTCAGCAGCAGCAGCAGTCTCAACTGGAATTTCAGTTTCAGCTTCAGCTGCTGGGGCTGTCTGCTGCAAAGCTGCGGTGACAGCCTGAATCTCTTCTACGGCTTGCTCCAACAAATTAGATTCTTCAGTCTTGTCAGCAGAGGCACCCTCGTCGACGCTCTGCGCTGCTTCGCCTTCTTCTGCCTTCTCTTCAGACTCGGGTTCTTTATCTTTGGAGCCTGTTCAAGGTAAGGATGATGCAAATGTTTTACGATCAGGCTGTGGATGGGCAGGAGTCACCAATGAAATCTCCAGAAACAATGCATGTTTTACCATGTCTCCGCAGATGGAGAGCATCAGCAAGGCTCTTCACCTCGTCCTTGACCTTTTCCACCACTTCTGGGTGGCTCTTCACCTTGTCCATCACTGCACTGAAAGCATCCATGTCCTTGTTTCCCTGTTCTTCGCTTCCTTGCTCTACAATATTGACATGGATTCTTCTCAGAGAAAACAATTTGGTGTCAAGAGAGAAAGAAATAGAAGAAAAAAGGGGACCTAATTTAGATTGTTCATTCAGAGGCATACAGAAATTTGGGTTCAATAGTTTCTTACAGGTCAGCAAATGGGGTGGGCGCAGTTGAATTCAAGCATCACCACAAGAAATACTGATAGGATTGCACTAATAATGATTATAATTTACGGTGACCTAGATCCACTAGTTAATTACACTTTCTCCACCTTCTAATAAATCCCTTGTTACTGTATGCATCCAGCATACCCCGATTAGTGCAGAATTATCAGTAACTCAAACGAAAAACAGTGGGGGGGAATTACCCGCTGACTGATCAATTTCGACAGGAAAGGATTCTTCTAGACAATAGACAGGATTCGAAATCCCCATACAAAAGCATGCAGACAAAACGGTGAAAGAAACGAAGAAAGAGTAAAACCTGCGAGCCTAGGTATTGGCTGAATCGAAACTTACAGAGTGAAGAAGAGACCCTTACAAGCTGAACCGGACTGCAGATTTGTTGAAGGACAGTGAAGTAATAAGCAAATAAGTGGGGAAAGCTTAGCTGACGAAAACTGAGAGGGGAAGTGTCTTTCAGTGTGAAGCTTTAGAACCGTGGGGTATATGGCTCTAACTGAGCCCCTTGATATGGGCTAATGACAAATGTGAAGCTAATGTTTTATTATGTATTATATACACAGATAAAGCTTAACTGGAGCACCATGCATAATAATACTACATGGTAGGACAGTGCAGGAGAGTGACAGCGAAATGGACGCAGGCAAACTGCAGGCATTCATAGTGGTTGGTCGAGGATGATCCTGCATCGTGGCTTGCACGGCGTAGCAGCCTGTGTCATACAGAGTGTCACTAGCTCCAGCTGGGTCAATCAAACCCTACTTTATTTATTCTCAAACAGTGCTTTAATTTTATTCCCTATACTTGCTAGCATTGATCCTGGAAGCGATATATACTAGGAAATAACAGTTGGATTCTTTGTTGTCTAGCTTTAGTTTGTGAATTCTGGCTGGTACGCATGTATTTAGGGTCAACTAATGACGATCTGGCACATGCAGGTCCACCAAGAGGACAAAGGAACATGTGCTTGAGCTGTAACTGTCTGTCCAAAAAAAAATCAGATAATTGCTGTATTCATCTCACAATGATCTCTGATTGGATGGTTTCTTTGCTTCATCTTTTTTAAGATTAGGAATGGTTCATGGCAAAAAAAGTCTAGAAAATGGTATCTGGTACACCTTCAATCAGACAATCACACATGGCCAACATCCTAACAGAATCATTGTGTACAGAAAGCTGCTTTTACTTGGAAGTAAAGTTAAGAAAGCCTATAGGTCTGGAGCAGCGGCGGATTCAGGAAATATTTTAGGGGGGGCTGAAACAATAACAACACTTCTTAGATCTTAAGTCTCAAATTTCTACACTATAAACATAAAAAATTCATAGAGGCCTACGATGAATTTTGCCTTTGATTCGGTATGGGTAAGGGGGGCTTGAGCCCCCCCCCACTTCTTGGATCCGCCTGGCACAAGACATAATCCAAGGAGGGGTAGTCCGCTTCAAAAAATGAAGTATGAAATGTTCACTAAGCACAAGGCATTTTTTTTGTACCACTTTCCAACTTTTATTTACCCTGATAATTACATTGTTTAGCGCATCATCTAGAATAAGGCTTGGCATCATTAGAGAAAAGTTGGCTTATTTTCAACATCATGTGTGATTTTTCTTCGAAAGGACGTCAGAAGCTTTGCCGCAAGTTTTATTACAAGGATAGATAATAAAGCACAAGTCCTCGCCTAGTTTTTTTTCAGTGAAAACCAAATCCAAAGAAAACCACATGACTATGGTACAATCACCAAACAACTCCGGTACCAAGACCTACCCAAACAAACATCATGTGTGATATTTCTGTTGCAGAAGTGCAGATGGTTTGTTTCACTGTCATGATACAAATCGACCTACTCCAGTATCATGACTGAAATCAAATCGACCCTTCTCCATGCGCCATGTGTTACATCACTGCTTTCTTAATCGCATAGCTCGTGGGTACTTCCTCTAAAAAAAGAATCATATCCGAGAAGGATAGCTCACCTAATTAGGAGAACAGGTTCCAATTGCTTAATAGTCCAGATGCATCCATGTTCAGATAACATTTAGAGTGGCATCCTAAGTATGTTACGATAAACATTGGTCTTTGTTTTCTAATTATATATATACAGTGTATAATCGCAGTTTATTGCAGAAGTGTTACTTATGGTCATATGGATGCCCATACCGAAGAAAACATTTTTCGGTAGAATGTAGAGATTGATTGACTTTACAATTTTATGATCTAATTTGGACCGTGAAAAGAAATGACAAATGCAAGCGTTTTTTTTAGAGCAGGAGGGGTTTTACCCCCTACTGGATTTTGTTGGGTCCGGGATCTCCCGCACGGGTAAGCCGACAGGTCACTGGATGAGCCGACCGGTCACTGGCGTTCTCGCACACACACTATGGCTGAATGTAGAAGAAGCGAGGGAGAACAGAACGCATACACACAACACAAGCACCAGCGTTGGCCGGAGCTCTGCAGAAGAGATGACAAAACTGAACTCGCTCTTTTTACTGAGTTACAGTGAAAAGCTATAAATACAACTCCACCCATCAAATCCTAGTACACAGACATGTCAGGCTGCCATGCTGCTACAGTGACTAGATGTGATAGCAGGGCTGACTTTGACGCATGCCCCTGCTATGGCTACAGTGCGGCAGGGGAGCCTTTCGACGCCTGCCCCTGCCGCAGCTACAGTGCAGCAGCAGGGAGCCCTTTCGACGCCTGCCCCTGCTGTTCGTTCAGACATGGACAGCAACAGATTACTTTACAATTCTTTTCCTAATCCTGCTGCTAACCCTAGAACCTCCACCATGCCGATCATCTTCTTTAGCTCCGTGAACAAAAGACGGCCGAGCGACTTGGTGAGGACGTCCGCGAGTTGCCAACGAGTTTCAACGAACTCGATGACGATCTGCCCTCCATCGACACAGACCCTGAGGAAGTGGAACTTGATGTCGATGTGCTTGCTCCGGTCGTGGAGAACTAGATTCTTCGCGAGGGGGATGGCGGGCTGGTTGTCCACCATCAGTGCTGGTGGGTTAGCTTCCACACCGGTCAGCTCGCCCAGCAGCCGGCATAGCCACACAGCTTGGCACGTCGCTGTGGCCGCCGCCACGTACTCTGCATCGCACGTGGACAGCGCCACCACCTTCTGTTTCAGCAACAGCCATGAGATTGGAGCCGACCCGAGGAAGACGAGCATGCTAGATATGCTCCACCGTCCGTCGATGTCCCCCCGTCATGTCTGCATCGCTGAACACAGTGAGCTGCAGGCCACTTTCACCGGTCTTGGGGAAGATGATCCCCTGATCCACCGTTCCCTTGGCGTAGTGCAGTAGCCGCCTCACCGCGGCACAGTGATCCTCTTGGGGATCCTCCATGAAGCGGCTGACGTAACCCACGACGAACGCAATGTCCGCCCTCGT